CCGCTATAATACTTAGTAAAAATTCCGTTCCAGCAAAAAAGTCCGTATAAGGCAAAATCCGTTATATCGACGGTCCGCTATATCAACTTTCACTGTGTATAATGCTAATTAGGCAATCTTCGTTAATCTGAATGATTTTCTTATTAGTGAGTCTGAAATTTCGGTATATCGTTATACAGATTTTAATTATATAAATCATCGTTAAACCGGCATATATGAATGAATCGGTTCCATAAAAAAGCTTCGTTATAAGGCCATCTTTGTTAAAGCGGACCTTCGTTAACTTTACTGTGTATTTACTTTTCAGCCACACCAGCCATTTTTAGCTCATGCAGTCAAATGTTCACTTTGTCTGGTTTTGTTGCAGCATGCCCCATATCTGCTCATATGTCTTTCAGATGTTATCTGAATGGCTGCTAACAGCATACCAACTGCTGTTGTCACTCCCTTAATATTCATCGTACATTTCTCTGTCGTCTCATCCTTTGTTGTGGTCTTACTCCGTTGCTTGCATTTCCCTTGCATCAAAGTGAGTTCTCTTATGTATATGCACCTGCAATATTCATCATTCTGAAACAAATTGCATTTTCACCTGGCTGACCTCATGCTTGGAAGCGTCGACTATTAGGGTATGATTAGCTCTGTAACAATTAAAGCAATTGTCTTGCAAATCCAAGATACCAATTTTTGAAGTGAATTGTTTATATGGTTAGACTGAATGTTGGAATATCTGATTGGACAGACAGCGAGGAAAGATTATGCGATGGGACAAGTAGGTAACTGCATACAAACTAGCTATATATAATAAATTATCGCTGTTGACATCAGATGCGGGCATCCGTTAAGCAGCAATGTGCTGGTTATCCGGTTATCGACATTGGATTATTGCGATCGGAAACTAGCGTGAATATGTAAAATCCGAAATTCGTAACAGATACGGAGAGGGATCGGATAAGGGCGGTCTATTTGCATCGATAAGGGTATACACTAACCCTAAGCAAGATGCTCAACGAATTACCATATACACACACATGCACAGACAGGGAGAAGGGGTGGATGACTGGCTGCTTTCGAACGCGGGGCATATGAACTTGCAGATGCGACGTTGAAATAGTCTACTGAATAACTTTTATTAGTCATGATGTTTATGAATGTGCGAATCTATAATTATTATCAATATTATTATATGTCTTGTGCTGTACAGATTTGAAACCACAATATGTCATGATACCTGAAGCATTAGAATGTTTAATATCTACACAGTAAAATAAAAGTGCTACTTTTGGAAAGTAACAATAAGTGATCACAACATTTTTGTAGAAAAGTATTATGTATAACCATAAATCGAACTTATACGCATTCAGCAATATTGCGATGTCTTCCAACCGACTCTAACAAAGCTGTTGACGAGCAGTTCGTATATGCTGTTTTAGCCAAAGATCAGCGACCCAACAGGGTACCTTTTGTCGTGGACGAACGTTGCTTAAGAATCTCTCGTAAAGCCGTTTTTTGTTGTTGCGGATGGATGAACATATAATGACGAGGTTGGGGTCCAGACCTTCCAGAAGTACTAGATTGAAAAAAGAACCGAGGTGAGCAAGTAGAATGAGCAAGAACAAGCATACGGTAAGGTAATGGCAACATCAATATTATTGTAGCATTCAATATTGTTTGCCGCATTTCATCATCAACTGATCCCAGCGCCCATCTGTACATACCTTTTTATCTCCCCCAAAGATACGAACAGAGCCATGAAGAAGAGTAGAACGTTCTCCAATATATGATGAGCAGTTGCTGTTATCATCTCTATTGGAAGAGTAACCATTTCTTTCTTGGTTGGTACTGAGGAGTTGCTTGAACGTTCTAGCGGCATATTACGATGGTAATGATAATAGAACGATTGAATGTGAAAGACTGCGAACGACATCCCAGGTGTCTATATATATATATATCTTTTTCCCATTGATTATTGTATAAGCAATTAAATATTCGAGCAATGCATGCAGACTTATATGACACAATATAAATTATAAAGAATAAATTAAAATAGCATAGCTATAGATAGAATAAGGAATAAGGTAATATGCAACATTGCCTTATTAAACTTATCCTTGTTATTGTTACTTTGGTTGCATAAGTGTACCATATTCGGAACATAAATGTAAGTTCTACTTGTTCAAAATCAAGTATTAAAAAAGGCGTAGTAAAAAGGTCCACTGCGGGTGTGCTACGGAATGTTACAAGCATGTAAAGATTTTGATCAACAAAATGAGCGTCATTGTAGTGGTTTGCATGCATGGTAACAACATTCCCATTCAATTAAACACATAACACATTACATACCAATCGTCTGCGGCTGTACATTCCTTATTTATCCATCAAATGAATAATTCACAGGAAGTGGTAATAATAAACTAGACAATAATACGCAGTAGATGAACTATTCTGGAATGTCTATGAATTATGTCTTCCGTATATCGTTAACCCTACGGTCTTACCGATTTTTATCAGAAATAAGATCCAACGAATTTGGTGTTGTATAATTATAATCAGATATTACCTATGTTCCACATTCCCTATCTAAACCAGACAATGTGAATGTAAGCCACACGATGCCCATAATACATGGTTTATAATAATAATGGACATGACACTGCAGAAATCCAATTATCAAAGCGTCACAGATTGGCTCTACCGGTACATGTTTATTTTATCATAGTTTAATTATTTTGTCATACTCGAACAACTGTTCGTACTAATACTTTAATTTCTAATTAGGTAGGAGACTTCCACTGGAGATGTCGGGATTCACTATGCTAACCGTCTCCCTTTCGAGCAATGAGGATTATGTATTTAAGGCATATAAATACATCCACGTCTAAGAACCCAAATTCTTCGTGCTCGCCAAACCTCCGTTCAATCTCCACATTGGTGCGTAAGCTTGAGTTAACTGTGAACATGACGTCTTACTTCTAAAATCAGTAAATCTATTGGAGTGGCAGGACTGTGTTCTCTATACTCGATATTATATTTATCCAAGTTTAGAGACACCAAAGTGATTGCATGTAGAAAATATCATTGGTTACTCTGCAATTTAAAATTCAGCATCTCTTATATTATTGCTAATAATAACATATCACTGTCATATATCATCAACTCCTCCTTATTATTTTTTTTATCAATACAATGCTCATTGTTACTATTTTCTCTCCGAAGTAAAAGTATTTGTATTGCAAGCGCAGCAATGCTTTTCTTTACCAGGTAACTTTATGACTCTCAAGCCGTTTGATAAATACGTTTAGATTTCAATATCTGGTGATAGACTTTGTTTGCTGATGGTTTGGCTCTCTTACTTAACGTTTCTCATATTCTGGAATTGGCATAATAAATTACGCCAAACCATGAATAAAGCCAATTAATTGTGTCGCGGATATTAATATTGTTGGTTTGCTTTAAAAATAAAGTACGTTGTACAATTAGTATCGCGTGCTGGCAATCAGTTTATTATTATAGTAAATTCACCCAAGAACGTAACTTTATTAAAACGCACTAATACTTGTCACTATAACTGAAACACAACCATACAACATCATACGATCATTGTAGGCAACCAAACCAAACCAAACCAAAACAACACGAACAAACGGCAGATAAAATAAGAAAACAATAGGGGTCATTGAAAATCAGAACAATAGTAAATGAACATCGATTATGCGATTCATGCGTCTTATAATACTTTCAAAACAATACAATAGTTACTCAATGATGCGCCTTTAACATAAAGGTCAATCTCTTGTAGATTCCTACTCCGACTATCAATCTGTCAATAAAAGAACGACCATCATTCATGCCCTGTCTCGGCAGATGCACAAACAAGGAGATGCTAAGAACAGCTCGCCTGTGACCACGTGGAACAAGCAATGAGGCCTACTGCGATTATGACGTCCAGGGAGGTAGTGGATTATCCGCTAAAGTCTGACGAACTGTCCAAAGTTGTAAACATTCCATCACAAATTCTGTATAATATAAATGTCAAAAGTACCCATCGTGCTTTTTAAAGTATCGGGCACTAGATATCTACGGTATGAGAAACATGATTTATTACAAATAGCCCTTAATTTTAATATATAGAAAGTATTCAAGTAAAACAAAATTACTCAGTCATGCTTTGCGAACGGTATTTTTTTTTGTCTAATGATGTTGAATGCTGTAAACACATATGTACGCCACTAGTTAGGCACAAAGAAGATAGCTGACACAGTATAATTCTCTGTCAAATACATCAAAATAGACTATATTAAAATGTTAAGGTACTTGAGTCAGAGAAAAGTGACAAGTCGCTCTCGAACACGTAGTCGAAATCGGAATGTACGTACAGATATTGACAAGTCAGGAGGCAATCATCACATCAACAATTATTTTGCAGACGTAACGTTTCGCCGACAACCATTTAACCGACAAGGTCATTTCACTGGCAGGCGACAATCGTCATTTCACCGGCAATCATATTCACCAACATCAGCGAGATTATTGTCGAAACATTACGTCTGCGAAATAATTGTCGATGTGATGATACGGACCCTTATTATTATTAATATATATAGTGAAATTCACTTTAACGAAGATAGCTTATAACGAAGTATTTTTCTGGAACCAGTTCGTTCTTAACAAAATAATTATTGATAGACGAAGATTTATATATAAATTCAGTATAACGATATAACAAAGGTTTCAAAATCCATGCATATAAAGCCATTCACTTGAGCGAATTTTTAAAAAGCGGTGTCTTTTGCTACTAAGACTGTAAAAGCATTTCTCTTGTTTCTTTTTATTATGCGCTTGCTCTCCGTCTCGAATAATAACAAAGGTGTTCAAATCAAACATCAGTAACGGCGAATCAAACGTAAACTGGCTTAGTGCATTATCCCTTAATCTGTAGGCCTATTTTTGGCAAATTTAACACTTATTTTTGTAGTGTAATTTTAAGAACATTACTACT